TATGGCGGCTATAGGATATAGTCGGCCGATCCTTATGAAATTTGGTAGGTCGGATTGATTGACCAAATATAAAACCGATAGAAAATCCCAACTTCCTAACTTTACAAACACCAAAGTTATGGCATTTCCGATCAATCAGTTATATGGCAGCTATAAGATATAGTCGGCCGATCCTTATGAAATTTGGTAGGTCGGATTGATTGGCCAAATATAAAGCCCATAGAAAATTCCAACTTCCTAACTTTACAAACACCAAAGTTATGGCATTTCCGATCAATCAGTTATATGGCAGCTATAGGATATAGTCGGCGATCCCGGCCGTTCCGACTTATATACTGCGTGCAAAGGAAAGAAGGGTGTGTGCAAAGTTTCAACTCGATAGCTTTAAAACTGAGAGACTAGTTTGCGTAGAAACAGACAGACGGACAGACGGACAGACGGACAGACAGACGGACAGACGGACAGACGGACAGACGGACATGGCTATATCAACTCAGGAGGTGATCCTGATCAAGAATATATATACTTTATAGGGTCGGAGATGTCTCCTTCACTGCGTTGCACACTTTTGACCAAAATTATAATACCCTCTGCAAGGGTATAACAAGAGAGAACGCTATAGTCGGGTGCCCCGACTATCAGATACCCGTTACTCAGGTAAAGGGAGTGCGAGGGAGATGGAGATAGAAACTTTGATCACGCATAACTTTTTAACGAATGGTCCGATTTGAAAAATTTCTTCTACATTTCGATAGGTATTGATAAACACAATAAAACTGCATTTTTACTTTTCCGAAATATTTAAATTTTTAAAATCGTATATAAGCGATTGTGGGCGTTAAAGGGGGCGTGGCACCATTTTGAAACAAACTTGCGCTGCGTAGGAACTTCTAAAATCTACATGCAAAATGCCAATCTTCTAGCTTTTTCAGTTTCCGAGATCTCAGCGTTCATACGGACAGACAGACAGACAGACAGACAGACAGACAGACGGACAGACAGACGGACAGACGGACAGACGGACATGGCTATATCGACTCGGCTAGTGACCCTGATCAAGAATATATATACTTTATAGGGTCGGAAACGCTTCCTTCTAGCTGTTACATACTTTTGCACGAATACAATATACGCTTTTACTCTACGAGTAACGGGTATAATTATATCATTCTTACCGGCCTTTGGCAGTATGTTCAAACATGAACACGCAGATATACAAAAGTATATATTTAGGTAGCGGAATTGTAGCCGCACCAAATGTACCACGTGTGTGCATACCTAAAACAACTAGGTAAAAAGGTTGTAAAATGACCTCCTGCAAGTGGTCACCACATGGTCAGTGATAAGTGCGATCGGAGTAATTGCTATCTCCTCTATCACCCTTAGCATATTTCCCGGAATCGGGGATATACCGATTCATAGGTCAAAAGATAAGAATAGTTGTAAGTCTCATGTTAGCTATTTAAGTCGAAGATATTCTTAAATAAAACCAGTTTTGAAATATCAACTCAACAAGGAAGACGTGTTTTATTGGACGCCCTTTCACGAATTGATGTGCTGGGATTATGTTGTGGTGTCTTAGAAACGGTACAATACGGGTCAACAGGCACTTTTCAAATAGCTTTGATAGGCATGATATTAGACTTATAGGTCTATAAGATGAACCGGCTGTGTGGTCTTTTCCAGGCTTAGGTATCATTATAATGATCGACTTCTTCTACTTCTCAAGAAAGTAACCGACTCTCATCATTGCATTGAAGAGCTGGCCAATTCCCGTCCCAATTTCTTTGGTCCTTCCCTGCGAACTCAGCTATCATTGTCTTCACAGTTCTGTTCGCTCATTCTGTTGGGTTTTCTTGCGGTGTTTAGGGCGCCGTGGTGCTTTATTCCCATTTCGCTGAGAAACTTTTTAAGGGTCCAACTGGTAAACTTCACTCCGTTGTCAGTTATCACTACCTTCCGCTGTTGCTGTCCGTAGTGGCACAATTTCTGTCCATTTCGAAAACCGGTCAGCTAATACCATTAGCATTTGGTTTCCGTGTTGATATCTGAGTTAGCATTTTGCCGACCGCCAGCAGTTGATTGGGCTTGTACTTCGGTTTCTGTGCATTCCAACCGTGCTATGATTCTTCCAATTTCGACATGCCCATCGGATGGGGAGTCATCATTTTCTTGTAGCACTGTTTTTCTTAGTCCTTGTGGAACGCACAGTTTGCATATCACGACATCTTCACTCTGTGATTCGCCTTCCATTACGTAGTCTTGGTATTTTTTGTAGTTGCGCTCGTATATTCTCGCACATCGACCTGACCCAATTGCAGCCATCGGAAGGTCCCGCCCCTAATGATCTCTGGCAAAGGTTGTCTTGATAGAGCATGCTATTTCGAAGTCCCACAGCTGTAACTCCAGGGCCCATCCTTTCCGACGGGCTTTTGATGATGTTTAACAACTTTAATGCCATGTGGTCCGTTATCACTTTAAAATGGTAGCCTTATAAGTATTGTTTCAGCTTTCTGATCGCCCACACGATTGCCAAGCATTCTTTTTCTGTTGTGGAGTAATTTTTATCCGCGCCGTTTATGGTCATGCTTGAATATGATATAACCTTTTCGGCGTCCTCTGTTTCCTGATTAAGGATTGAACCTAATCGCTGGCGTAAGTCTGCAAGTACTGGGTCGGCCACCAAGCTTGCCTTCAATTCTTCAAAAGCATGCTGCTGAAGTTTTGTTGGGCATGTATATCCACTTTTGTTTATGTTGGTTTGGGTTGACCGTTTTTATAATAAATGTAGCTATTGGATTACTCGAGGGCATACGTTGGTTATATTTTAATTTATAATCTATAACACAACGATTTATCCACTTAACTTTTATCACACTTGCAATTATGCAAAAGAACTGGAAGCGATAATTTGGCCTAAAAAATATTTTAGACGATATCTATTTTGAAGAAATACTTAGTACATACATCTTGTGCGGCTGAATTGAATGAATTTTATTATAAAATAAAAAATCTTCCCGAAAAAGAAGAAGAAAGAAATACTACGTTGCAGATTCCCGTTCTCGAAGCAAGAAAACATGCTTTGAAAAGTAGCTAATAGCGCAAATGCAACTGTACACAGTGCTGTAAAAGACAACCAGCATTATATTAGCAACACTGACCTTAAACTATTTTTCAAGAAAGAAAGAGCTAGGGAAAGGAAATAAATTAAATTAAAAATTAAAATTACTTACGAAGAAATGACAGAAGAGTTTGCCAATATTATTTAAAAAAAAAAACTCTGTACGAAAAAGAACGCAATTTATTTCCATAACGACGAAGTTTTTCTAATATTTCAACATTAAGAATTTCTCCTCCCAGGAATTGAAAAAACTATCAATTGGTTTTCAGAAGAGCACAAATTTCCTGATAGTCAGAAATTCATTAAAAGTATCATTAACGAATGTAAACAAAAGAAAACCAAAATACCAAAATGTCCTCTGAAACTAATTTTTAAATTATTTCTATAACCAACCAACAATTCCTGTTTTGTTTCGCTATCTACTCGAAATTCGCTAAGTTAATCGAATTGAAAAGTCGAGATGGCGAGAAGCAAAAAAATATTTATTAAATCAAAGCAGATAAAGACTCAGTTTTCATGTGTGAAGCATTACAAAATTGGTTGAAATCAGAAGGTGTAAGTTTATCTCTTACAACTAGCAAGAATGTTTTACCAGAAGTAGAAATATTCCTCACGTCAGTAAATGAATAGCATAGAGTTATTAGTAATGAAGAAAACGTAAAAGATCGTTCTACAAAATTTGAAACAATTTTATACGTGTACGATCACAAAACGAAACACAACACAATTAACACCGGGAGATATTTTCTTATACGCAGGAAACGTATCTCGTTGATAAATTAAAAAAAAAAATAATTGGTTTGAAAATCACTAGGTATCATACGAGATGTCTTCTCAATATAATTGGATCAGATTCGGAACTTACATCAGACGAATAAGAAGACAAAAGTACTAGATAAGCTTTGGGGAAAACAGCAGCCGCCACCTAAATTTTAAAATAAATAGATAAAGCTCAAACAAAGCTTTCGTATTACATACTAATTGCTTATGTTCTCGCCTTCGTTGGTCGCAAGCCGACTCTCTCTCTCTCTCTGCCGCTCGACTTCAGCGCTTATCGGCAGCATCGTCAGATAGAGAGCTTTATCTGCGCTAATTATCTAAAGCGGGATCACTCTCTCATGTACGTTCATTGCGCGCGCTCAATATATTGGCATATATTTTCTGTATCCTCCAATATTATCCGCAACAATAAAAATTCTTATTATAACGTTTAACTAATTATATCGGCGTTATTATTTCGAGTTTAAAGGATAGTCGTTGAAAAATCTCAATGACTGAACATTGGTGACCCCGACGTGATATTTTGAAACAATTATTAATTCGCGAAAGTAAAATAAAGTTTCTAAAATATACACATATATACACTACAGTGCATATCATTGTTTAAAATAAATAAACATACATATAAAGTTTCATAACCAAAAATAGTTATAAAGTGCATGCCGGTCGTCAATTGCCATCCGGTCCGTTATTTAGTGCACCTGCTACCTACGTATACATACAATACATACATTCCGTTTTCGAGTGCATTCGCCGGCGCACAAACCGTTATACAAACATACAGCCGCTAATTCGGGTACGGTTCTTGTGTGCACAGTGGGACAGATTGCGTTCGCCGTGGTCAAATACGAAATATTATTATATAATATTATTAAACAATTTGTAATATTAAATTTGGCTTCAGCTTAGCGGCCGTGCACAGTGGGACAGGTTGTATTCGTCGCGAGCAAATTAAAACTATTATTAAATAATAAAATAAATAATAAATAATACAAAAAAATAATAAAATAATACGAAAATACAAATAAATAAAAATAATAATACTAATTTCGCTGCAGTTTAGCTTTGTTAAATTGGTCGTAATTTGAGACTAGTGGCGATGGATGCCAGCGCGGCAGACGCAGGTTCACCCACTCTACCTCGGAGTGCTATTTTGAAATGCAAGGCCAATGCTCTCCTCCAGGATTTGAAGAGGATACAAGGAGCCCTTCACCCAATTTCAAGCGTGGAGGACGCCATGCTCCACGTGCGTCATGGCCAGTTAGTCTCAGTGTACGATGACTTCAAGGCCATCCACGGGAATCTTGAAGAATTAGACATTTCGGAGATCGGCAGCGACTTGCGATGGACCGTGTCGGAGCTCGTCGCGACGATGCACGCTGAAATAGAGCACGAAACCTTGCGACGCTCTGCTCAAATGGCTGCCCACTCAACTCTCACCAACGGGATCTCCTCTATGCCAGACCCAGGGCTCAGTCGCAGCTTTCAAGCTCTGCCGCCTATTCCGCTCCCTACCTTCAGTGGAGGATACTCCGAGTGGTCTGAGTTCCAATCTATCTTCTCAACTATGGTAGGCGGAAATCCACATATAAGCAAGGTGGAAAAGCTGCAGAGGCTACGATCCTGTCTTCGCGACTCAGCGTTAGAAGCAGTTCGGTCCTTGGTAACTTCCGAGGAAAATTATGACGTTGCATTGGGTCTTTTGGAAAAGCGATTTAGTAACCGTCGTTTAATATTTCAGGCTCATGTGAACGAGATTCTAGGCCTCTGTGTCGTGGAAGGTGGCTCAGTGGCAGGTCTACGAGGATTCTCAGATAAGTTCAATGCCCATATGCGGGCCTTGAAGAATTTGGGAACGACGCAACAAATTGCCGGCTGCATCATCGTCCAGGTGCTTCTTCAAAGATTGGACCCAGCTACCCAGGCGAAGTGGGAGGAAGGCCAGACTGCCATCAATTCAGACCTTATTCCTACGTGGGACTCGATGTCGGAATTCCTGGAGCAGCGATGCAGGACTCTCGAGGCTGTGGATGTGGCCATGGCCGCATACGCGCCAGGCACTCAGGTGGGAAGACGTAGAGTTGCTAATAACAGTAGATCCGCCTTCATTATTACTAATGCGCCTCCCGCTACCTGTATATTATGCGGTGGGAGGTCCCATGAGGTGCCTGCGTGTCCAAGGTTTCTGCTGTTGTCCCCTGAGAGCCGCCTAGGCGAGGCTAGGCGACTTGGTCTTTGTCGAAAATGTCTCAGAACCGGCCATCACCTGCGAGACTGCGTCGCTAATAATTGCCACAGCTGTGGGAGACGGCATCACAGTTTGCTGCATTTTCTGGACTCGCAGTCTTCTAGCGGCCATCTGCCAGTTGCTTTACCCATTTCCTCCTCATCCGAGGGTTCTGAACCTCTAGCCTCATCGCCATCCACAGTCAATGCCTTAATTGCCCAAGGTCGTAGCGGCGATATAGCTTTGCTTGCAACAGCGAACATACTTGTTAGGAGCCGCGCTGGTATTTTTGTTCCTTGCCGAGCGCTTCTGGATTCTGGATCTCAAGTACACATGATTACGTCCCGATTGGCTAATCAGCTGCAGTTGCGTAAATGCAAATCATTCATGTCGGTGTCTGGAATTGGCGATACCGGCTATGCGACGGACGGATTCTCTGTTGATGTGCTCCTACGTTCTCACTGTTCAGAATACTCGTCTCTTATTAGTGCAGTCGTCGCTGGCAACATTACGGATCTCCAGCCTAGTTTCTGCTTAGATGTCTCCAATTGGAATATACCATGCAATCTTAATCTCGCTGATCCAGAATTCTTTCGACCACAGCGTATCGATTTGCTCATCGGAGCCAGCCTCTTTTATGAATTGCTGTGTGTTGGACAAGTTCAGCTCTCAGCTGGCCTACCGTTGCTGCAGAAAACCCGACTTGGATGGGTTGTGTGTGGAGGCGGTTCACCTGTCGAGAGAAGGTCACTCGTAGCCACAGCCTGCAAGGATGTCACGAAGAGCCCAAGCCTGCCGGATGAACGTTTAGATTGTCTGCTCCGCCAGTTCTGGGAAATAGAGGACTGCTCCGAACCAATAGTGAAGTGGACAAAGGAAGAGCTGGATTGCGAAGCGCATTTTGTGCAACACTCTACTCGGCTCAAGTCAGGCGCTTATGCTGTGAGGCTGCCGTTGAAATGCAGTTCTGATTTGCTGGGAGAATCGTATCCCCAAGCCGTGCGTCGATTTCTCTCTCTAGAAAGGAAGCTCAGTCGTCACCCTCAATTGAAGAATCAGTATGCTGCGTTTATAAAAGAGTATTTGGAGTTGGGCCATATGTCTGCAGTTCCTGCTAATGCGAGCCTCACTCCTCAGTACTTCCTACCTCACCACTGTGTTTTGAAAGAGGACAGTTCAACAACCAAGCTCAGGGTTGTTTTTGATGGATCTGCTGCTACCACTTCTGGGTATTCGTTGAATGACGTGTTGATGTCCGGCCCAGTTATACAGCCAAAGTTGCTTCACATCCTGTTAAGGTTCCGTTACCATCGGGTGGCCATTACAGGAGATATCTGCAAAATGTACCGATGTGTCAGAGTTTTCCCTGAGGACAGCCATTTGCAGTGTATCCTTTGGCGGGATTCCACCCAGGACGAGTTGCAGGTTTTTAAACTTGACACTGTAACTTATGGAACAAAACCAGCGTCATTTTTGTCAGTGCGAGCAATGCATCAATTGGCCGAGGATGAGCAGTCGATGTTTCCAAAGGGGGCCGAGATTCTGCGACGCGACTTTTACGTGGACGATTTAATTTCTGGAGATGCTTCTGTGGCTGAAGCTGTCAACATTATGCAGCAAACATCAGGGATCCTTGCCAAAGGTCAATTTCGCTTGAGAAAGTGGTGCTCCAACGTAGCTGCGGTGTTGTCTGATGTGCCGGAAGAGGATCGGGAGTCGTTTCTGAGATTTGATGACGGCAGCAACTTTACGAAAACTCTGGGCCTCGCTTGGGATCCTGCTACTGATCGCTTGCTATTTTCATTTGAGGGCCTTCAGTCAACCTTAAATCCAACTAGGCGCATCGTCCTTTCCTCAATCGCCCGGTTGTATGATCCTTTAGGACTTGTCGGGCCAGTCATCACAAGGTCAAAGATCTTTCTTCAGAAGCTGTGCCGTGAGAAGTTGTCTTGGGATGAGAGTCTTCCTCAGGCTCTTCACTCTGATTGGGAAAAAATTTGCTGCAGTTTCGCTATGGCTCAGAGGGCCGATTTTCCCAGATGGTCACTATCATCACCGACCGATTTGGAGATTCATGGATTTTGTGACGCTAGCATCGAGGCTTATGGTGCCTGTATTTATGTCGTCTCAAGGGGTACAGGAGCGGGAAGTCACCTGCTTTGCTCGAAGTCTCGAGTGGCGCCGCTAAAGACTGTTACGGTGCCGAAACTGGAACTATCAGGAGCAGAATTGCTGGCGCGGCTTATGTCAGAAGTAGCTAATCTGAAGATGTACGCTGGGAAGCATTATTGTTGGTGCGATTCTGCAGTGGCGCTGTCCTGGATTCGAGAGGAGCCTGCCCGGTTTAATGTTTTCGTTGCCAATCGAGTTGCGACGATCCAGGAGTTAACCAGAACGATGGAGTGGCGCTATGTTCCCACGTCCTTGAATCCGGCGGACATCCTGTCCCGTGGTGCTCTTCCTAATGAGTTGATCGTTGATGAGCTGTGGGCACATGGTCCTCCGTTTCTTCTTGGTCCTCAAGATGAGTGTCCAGTTGCGTTCCCAGCTGAGAGGCCGACCCTGGAACTGCGCGCAAAGGTTTTGCTCATTCAGTCGCCGTATGTGGACATAATAGCTGCCTCCAAGTACGCTAATTCCTTCTCATCTCTGCAGCGGGTATTTGCTTATGTGCACAAGTTTTGTCATCGAATACGCCACAAGGGAATCACCGCAGGAGATATCAAGTCTGGAACTCAACTTTTATTGCGGTTGGTACAGCGGGTGCATTTTTGGGATGATATAAGGTCGCTTCAGAATGGCAAAGAGATATCGTCGTCCAGCGTACTTGCCACATCTTCACCCTTCTTGGATAAGTTCGGTCTACTGCGTGTAGATGGTCGCCTGAAGAATTCGCCGTTGGATTTTGATAGTCGTCATCCAATTATACTCCCTAGAAGCCACCCAGTCACTCTTGCTATAATTGTTGATTTCCATGAGCGAAATTTACACACGGGACCTCGTGCTCTTTTGGCTATGATTCGATCCCAATATTGGCCAATTGGGGGGAGGAAAACGGTGACGAAGGCGTTGCACAAATGCATCCGATGCTTCCGGTCCAAGCCTCGCCTGCTGGAGCACATTATGGCTGATCTCCCGGAACAAAGAGTCAACGGTTGCCAAGTCTTTGGAGTCACTGGCGTGGATTTTTGTGGGCCATTCCATTACAAGCCAGAAGTTCGTAATAAGGCTCCGGTAAAATGCTACGTGAGCGTCTTCATTTGTTTTGCTACAAAGGCCGTCCACTTGGAGCTCGTAAAGGATCTATCCACTACTGCGTTCTTGCAGGCACTAAAACGGTTTATATGCACCCGCCGAAAGCCACAACACATTTGGTCGGACAACGCTACAAATTTTGTTGGAGCCAGAAACGAGCTAAGTGAGCTGCGGCGGCTCTTTATCAGCGACGAGCATCAGCGGACACTTCTGGAGTTTTGTGCGATTGAGTCCATCGAATGGCATTTTATTCCTCCTCGATCTCCGCATTTCGGCGGACTCTGGGAAGCGGCAGTCAAAACTGCCAAGCATCATTTTTACCGGGCTGTGGGGTCCTTAATTCTTGGATTTGAGGAGCTGCGAACTCTGCTTTGCCACATTGGTGCTGTCATAAATTCACGACCATTATTGCCTCTTTCAGAAGATCCTGCAGACCTCGATGTTCTAACGCCAGCACATTTTTTAACTGGAGGTCCGCCATCTAGTTTAATCGAACCTGATGTTACAAAGCTAAACTTCAATCGTCTGGACAGTTGGCAACGTGTGTCCTTTCTGCAGCAGTCTTTCTGGTCCCGATGGAAAGAGGAATACTTAAGCCTCCTTCAGCAACGCTCCAAATGGCGTACCTCCGGCCCTGCTTTGGCAGTCAACGATGTGGTGCTGGTCAAGGACGAGAACCTACCCCCGATGAAGTGGCCGCTCGCGAGAATCATGGAACTGGTATCTGGTAGGGACGGAGTGGCTCGAGTGGCGGTGATCAGAACTTCATCTGGAACCACCAAGCGCGCAGTATCTAAGCTGTGCCTTTTGCCCCTTAAGGACGAAGTTGGAAGCCAGGCCCAACTGGGGGGAGAATGTCGGGACAAGCAGCAGCCGCCACCTAATTTATAGATAAAGCTCAAACAAAGCTTTCGTATTACATACTAATTGCTTATGTTCTCGCCTTCGTTGGTCGCAAGCCGACTCTCTCTCTCTCTCGCCGCTCGACTTCAGCGCTTATCGGCAGCATCGTCAGATGAGGCCTTTATCTGCGCTAATTATCTAAAGCGGGATCACTCTCTCATGTACATTCATTGCGCGCGCTCAATATATTGGCATATATTTTCTGTATCCTCCAATATTATCCGCAACAATAAAAATTCTTATTATAACGTTTAACTAATTATATCGGCGTTATTATTTCGATTTTTTTTTTTTTTTTTAAATATTTTTATTTTTTTATATTTTTTTTTATTATAATTAATAATTTAATAATTTTTTTTTTTTTTTTTTTTTTTTTTTTTTTTTTTTAATTTTTAACCGTCCAGGGGGGGGGGGGGGTTTGGTGGGTGGGGTTTTGGGGGGGGAAGAAGGGGAAGAAAAAAAAAAAAAAAAAAAAAATTTAAAAAAAAAATAAAATTTTTTTTTTTAAATTTTTTTTTTTTTTTTTTTTTTTTTGGGGTTTTTTTTTTTTTTATTTTTAATATAAAAGGATTTTGGTTTTTTCCGGATTTTTTTTTTTTGAGTAGAGTAAAATATTATAAAAAAAAATAAAATAATATAAAGTTTTTTAAAGACCTCTTTCACCTCTCTTTGAAATGCCGGTATTTATTTGGTGGTGTCGGAAACGTAGCAAAGTTATTGCCCGCACTTGCACCAGAAGGCCGACCGATCTACAAAAATTGGTTATTAAATATTGCCTCATCAACTTCACACCGTCCCGCGCTATCAAATCGCTGCATAGCAATTTTCATCCACTTCTTGCACCATTTGAAAATGATCTGTTATCTGGATATCTCTCTGTTCAATGGCCGGAATAATGTTAAGGCGCATCGTCCGCAATGTGGATCGGTTTTTTTTTGTCTAAGCATCGAAAGCCAACTCGGAGCTGAGATAGCTTGCCGAAGTCTGGGACTCTAACCCAGTAAGAACTCCACCCCCTCCCCGCTTCCCCGGCGGTACTGCCGTTAGGTATTACTTGGCCGGGGGGAATGCCCTTAGGGCTCTCTAGGATTCTATCCTATTGGAATTTCGCAGTCTTTCTGCGTTGCGGAGCTTTTTGAGTACTATTGTGGCCATATTGCATACTGCAGACCAATTCTGAAACGAGCATAATGTCCACCAGGTTACAAGCGGCTGGCGTCCTCCCAACCCTCAGATCTCTTCGTTCATTTTCAAATCTCGGACAGACAAAAAACACGTGTTCTGCGTCTTCGTTATCCGACTCGCAGAGGGGACAGTGCGGTTAACGTTCATGCTTAAATCTATTAAGATAGTATTTAAAGCATCCATGTCCTGTCAACAGTTGCGTTAAGTAGAAGTCCACATGTCCATGCTTCCGTCCCAGCCATCTCTGCAGTTCTGGGATAAGCTTATACGTCCATCGTCCTTTGCTACTTTGTGCCAACCCTTCTTGCCACTTCGCAATGGTAAGTTCTCTGCACCTTTTCCGTAGGGATTCAGCTGTTTCGATTTCCGTGCTACCTGCTCGGATCTCAACTGATTCCAATGCAGGTCAATCGGTATAACTCCCGATATTACCAACGCCGCGTCATGGGATACCGTGCGGAACGCACAGCATACCCGCAGGGCACACAATCTCTGCACGGAGTCAGCATCTTGCATGTAACTTTCATTTTTTGTGGCTCGGGCCCATATGGGAGCAGCATACATCAGCGTCGATGTGACAACGCTACAACCCAGTAATATCCGACCTGGTTGCATCGGTCCCCGAGTGTTTGCCATAATCCTCGAGATCGCGGCCGCGGTCCTACCTGCCCTGCCACTAGCGTACGCTAGATGTTCTTTGAAGGTTAGCCGGTGGTCAATCATGACACCCAAGTATTTTAGGCTTGGGCGAGATTTAATTGTGGCTTCTCCAATTTTGATAGTAGCCGTCTCTACTATCTGCCTGCTGCTTATCAGGACTGCTTCCGTCTTGTGCGCTGCCAAAGTGAGTTCCTTGGCGTCGAGCCATGCGCTTGCTCGTTCCCCAGCTTCGTTGCAGATTCTCTCTGCATCTGGTAGCTTCTTTGCAGTGACTACTATGGCTACATCATCGGCAAAGCCAATGAGTCGTGCACCTTCGGGCATCGCGATCCTAAGGATCCCATCGTACGTGGCATTCCACAACAAGAGGCCTAGGACTGATCCTTGTGGGACTCCCCCGCTGACCCTGTGGGTCGATTGGCCAGAATCAGTTTTGTACAGGAGCAGGCGGCCTTTAAAGTAGCTCGCTACTAGTCTCTGTATATACATTGGAACATTAAGATTTTTCAATGCATTTAGAGTGTGGTCCCAGCTAGCGGAATAGAATGCGTTTTTAACATCCAGCGTTGCCGCTATGCAGTACTGCTTTGTGCCGTACAACCACTTTTTCCCCTCGATCGCTTTATCTGCGACTTCGCACAGTTTACCGACAGCGTCGATGGTAGCATGCAGAGTGGCCTATATGAAGAAGGCTCCTCCGCTGGCTTGTCCCCTTTTGGTATGAGTACCTTCTATTAGGCGTGCGTTATACATGTCAACATACTCTTTTGTGTTTGCCTTAATAGCAATTTTAAGGTCTTTATTCGGGATGCCATCTGGTCCCGGTGCCTTGTCGTCCAGTATTGTCTTCAATACCCGGTGGACTTCACGATCTGTAAGGTTCGCGCCATACTCTCTTGCTCTGTGTTTGCTAGTGTTTCCACTATCCTCTTCAGCCCGGCTGGGCATAACGGCGTTTGCCTACTAAATACCCGAAGCCGTTTTGTGACGAATTTATATGCGAAGCCCCTTGGGTTAGACTCTATTTCTTCGCATATATTATTAAAGCACCTGCGTTTGCTATCTTTTATATTTGTTTCCAGGGCCGTGGGCCGTTTTTCCGTGGTGGGCCATTTCTCGGTTTTATCGTGCAGATTATTGCTGCATGGTCACTACCCATGTAGGTTTTACTAACCTCAGCTGGAGCCTGAGGCCAATCCAGCGCTCGCGAATGTGAGGTCAATGATGGAACTGGTTCCGGCTCTAGAGAAGGTCGGTTTCGTTCCAGAGTTCAGCAGTTCCCCCCGCCTGGGGGATTAAGTGCGTGTGCACTTGTTTTTTTGGGAAGGTTAGACCCTTTTCCTGCTGATCTTCGATCGGACACAAATTAAAACAAGAGAGAACGCTATAGTCGGGTGCCCCGACTATCAGATACCTACTCAAAAAGGAGGGAGAGGAGATAGAAACTTTATCGATTACTCTTTAACGATTTAAACTCTAATTTGATAGGATTGATAAACACAATAAAACTGCATTTTTACTTTTCCGAAATATTTAAATTTTTAAAATCGTATATAAGCGATTGTGGGCGTTAAAGGGGGCGTGGCACCATTTTGAAACAAACTTGCGCTGCGTAGGAACTTCTAAAATCTACATGCAAAATGCCAATCTTCTAGCTTTTTCAGTTTCCGAGATCTCAGCGTTCATGCGGACAGACAGACAGACAGACAGGCAGACAGACAGACAGACGGACAGACGGACATGGCTATATCGACTCGGCTAGTGACCCTGATCAAGAATATATATACTTTATAGGGTCGGAAACGCTTCCTTCTAGCTGTTACATACTTTTGCACGAATACAATATACCCTTTTACTCTACGAGTAACGGGTATAAAAAGAAATAAAAAATTAAATTTAGTATAAGGAATAAATCTTGGTACTAAAATATATTTATTAAAATTTTTAAAATTTACCGCCCAAAATTCAAACGAACCGCCCAATATTTCCCTACGTGCTACGGCACGCACTTATGTGCTTGTCCTGCACCCTGTTCGAAGCTCGCTGCTATGGCACCCGCAGCCCCTTTCGGACATTACGATCAGCTGATCGCGCAAGCGCTTTCCACCACTGTACGTGTGTCTGCGAAAATAAAAAAGCGCGAGTGGAATTAACAACAACTAAACAAACAACGAGTGGAAATGATGAGGCAGAGACACCTCCCCTCCCTCACCTATGACCCTGCCTGGTCGCCAAACCTGTTGAGGAAACGATTCCCAGCTGTCGCCTGCGGCCTCCTGGCCACCAGAAGATGTCCAGGTGTTATGTAACCCCAAGCCGGATGGCCGGCTACGCTTGTTGATTTGTGCTGAAAACTAGAGGGGTAAGTGGGAGCGATTTTAGAACGCGACCGCACTCTCTACTTTCTCACTACTCTCTTCGCGATGTGGATCGGTGCGATACTTTTTATGTGATCTCTTTCACATGTTAGGCCGCCTTGCCGCAGTCGCAGGTGAGAGATGGTTTTGGGCAAAAAACTTTGTAGATCTGCTCAACGAATAGTAAGAGTTGTACCAGCCCTATTAAAGCAAGGTGTACTGATTGAGCTACTCCATCTGAATGCGACGTTATATTCTTATAATTTAATTGGATACCCAACTTGAATTATTATGTTTAGAATCTAAACCAACATAACCAAACAAAAATGCATTAAAATCTTAATTTTTCTTAAAGGTTAATTTTAACTTAATTGTACTTTTTCCCAAAGTTATTTTCTCAAGAACGACAGATATAACATTATTTCCTTTAAAAAGCCTATTAAGCTTCACCATGGAGAATGATTAAGTTTAGTTGAAAGAAGACAGTTAACAAGATTGCAATTTTCCATGTTAAATTTAAAAACTATTGTTTTTTTGTAAACAGATTGACTGAGACTTATCTGACCATGACTTCTATAAGCATTGACGCCTATTAAAAATGTAATCTCATTTAAATCGGTCACTATACGAGGGTGGTCCGATAAGTACTTAGCCTCCAAAAGAAAAAGAAAATTTTGGAAAAGTGGCGATTTATTTCTCAACAAAATCTCCTTTTAGCTCGGTACACTCGACCCAGCGATGCTCCTACTTCTTTAACCCGTCTGAAAAATACGTTTTCTCGAGGTC